ACAGAGCCCTTAGATTGTCGTTAATGCCCCATTTGTGTTTTTGCTTGAAATTAGTAGCAATTGAAATGATTAACAAATCAATTATCCAAGTCTTTGTTACAAATATGATTTTTTCATGTGCTTGTTTAAACCGTTTTGCATCTTTCTACTTGTTTTTCTATTAATAAAAGTGGGATTTTTGTTTTGAGACACCCTATTTTATAGTTATGCCGAGTTTGGAAGGAATATAAATACAAATACGTAGAATGTAAAATCTTATATTTTGAATGTATTTACGCTGCATATATTTGTATTTGTGCTCTTAGTACATGATGGCTTCCAAAAGATAGTGTGTGGTAGTAGGATATACACTAATTTTATCTAGATGAATTTGATTCTTCACTAGATTTTTGACACTATCAATAGCTTCAAATGCAAATTTGTATCTCAAATATGAGGAGTTTTCAGGATTATAGGGTTATTACCAATCACTTATGGAGATATCTTTCAATGAGGCTCAACACCAACCTCAAGTTTAGTAGCTCATATCATCCTTATAGATCGATTGTCAGACTGAARTAGTGAACCGCGAAGTTGGAAAGCTTCTACATGCTGAGATCAGCAAATCCCCCCAAACATGGGACGTTGTCTTGCCCCTAACAGAACTCTGCTACAACGAGAGACCCCACCACAACACCCATCTAGGCCCTTACCAAATAGTCTATGGGTTCAACCCTGGAGAACCCTTGGAGCTAACTGAACTCCTGGGTCTGGATGTAGTAGGCACGTTATGTAAGCATAATGTGTGAGCATGTAATAACTGTGCGATACATGTCTCAGTTAATGCATCTTTCTTCTAAATGTTTTTGTTTCGTTAGAYAGAAATTATCTATTATTTTATTATGTCAAAATAATTAAAAATAAAAATAATGAAAAAGAAAAACATAAACGTATTGGGAGTTGAGACTCATTTGCATTTTATCTTTTCATTATTTTTATTTTTAATTATTTTGACAAACATAATAAAATAATGGATAATTTCTGTCTAACGGAACAAAAACGTTTRGATAAAAGACGTATTAACTAGAACATGTGTCACATAACTATTACGTGCTCATTCATTATGCTTACCTAACATGCCTATTACATCCGGACACTGAACTCCTTGAACTTGCCCTTCATTACAAGACCTCTAATGTGTTTAATGTTAAACTTTTGATCCTCATCATGCCAAAAATGAGCCATGAGGTAGAGGAAGGAAAACAACTGAGGCTTCGACCCATGAGGCCCAGGGGAACGATAGAGAGAGAGGCGAAGCAAAGGCGGACAAGACCWGAATGCTCACAAGTCACATCTCATGAGAATTGGAAAAACCAAAGCCTCTCTTTGCTTGACGCATAATGACCTTCCGAGGTTGTAAAACCCACGAGGCTGCAGCGACAAGACATGAGATATAGGGTGCAAGACCAAATTATGAGGTTCCTCTATTTGCCTTGTGAATTTTGTACCCTACAATTAGTGCTGATCGTCAAAAAAGAAAAGAAAAGTTGAACTGGTTCAGTATTTTTGAAAATCAAAGGTACCAGTTTAGTTTCGTTTAACCAATATAAAAATCAAAAGTTAACTGAATTAACTGGTATATTATATATTTTTCACATATATTTTATATTATCTAAATGGGGTAATGGCTGAATGAAAGGAATAAATGTATGTATGAATATGTTTTTTTTTTTTTTTTCATGTTATGAACCCTACTTTTTACAGATGAAGGGAGGGATCACTTTGTGCATGGGTAAGAATTGTAAAATATTCTCTCGATGGTTAATGACTTAATCAGGGGCTGAGTCAGGAAATTTTTATAAAGGGGGCGAAAACCTAAATGAAATATGGATGGATCCATAGGGGGGGGGATTTTACATAGAAAGCTGTATTACTGTAGAGATTTTCTGAACCATAAGGGGGGTCATGGCTCCCCTGGGTCCCCCTTGGCTCCGCTCCTAGACTTAATAATTTCAGAATATTCTTTGGACCATGGTTTTCAAAACTGGATCGGAAAAACTAGGAACCAGTCAGGTGATCAGTTCCGTTTTACCCCAAAACCGTTATTTCACCAAACCCCTGACCCAGGTGGTCAAACCGTTCGAACTGTCCAACAGTTTGGCCATTTTTTATTATTTTCTTTTTAATTCTTTTTGTCATAACGGGCTGTCTGATCCAAGAACCAGACCCCTGACCGCTTCATTGTCCGATTTAATTTTAAAAACCTTACTTTGGACTATTAAGGGCTCGAGTCCTTAGATCACCCTGATGAGGATGTGTCACGTTACAACGCAGGAAAATGGCTTTGATTCCCACACTTGCGACCTCCTTCTACATGTCATTTTAGGGGAGACCATATCTACCGTACAATCAACTTTTCAGCTGTTTTGTCTCTTGAACTGTAGTTTGCTTTATTCGTTTTTGTCTTGTATGAGTGCATCTCATGAAAGATATCTGTGGCTTAGGGTTTAAGGACAAAGCTGTGGATGATAGGTAAACTTTCTAGTTAGATTATCACAGGGTTTGTAGTTCTATTGTCATAGCTAATCCACTACAATGGTATTATGTAGGTCTATCTCCTTATAAATTATATATTATAAATGAATATATGCATTATATATAAGTATATATACAATATATAATATATTACTTATTATTTATAATGTAATATATTGTATGTATTTCTAATATTTTTATTATATATTTATATATTTATTTATAATATCAAGAAGTCGAAAAGTTGATGAACTGAATCAATCAACTGGTTAATTGGTGGGGTTTGGTTTAGTTTCAGTTCATAGTTTTTCAAAAAACCAATAGTACCGGTTCAATTTGAAAAATAGACCTATGGTTAACTGAGCCGTGAGAACCCATAGCGACAATGCTTATTGACTCGGTCCATTATCAATAGCACGAAGACTGTCGGCCAACGAATCAACATCAAGCAGAGTTCGTCAACCCTCTGCTACTGTAAATTCTATTTTTGGTTTTCATTTTCTTAATAGAGTTTATCTTTGGTTTAGCTCAGTTTGTATAATGGGCTTGGCACCAAAGTTGAACTCTATTTAGTTGCCGCATCTATATAAGCTGCCTAGAGGACTATAAAGTTGAACTCTATTTTTGGTTTTCATTTTCTACCTTTGTTCCTTTTTCTTCTCTTGTTGTCCTTGTTTTCAAGGAGCAGACTCAAATCCTTTCACCACCTGCTAAAGTAAAGGTTCAAGGTCATCTCCTTTGTAGGTTGTCCGCTGTAAAATAGGAAGGTTGGTGTCTACATTGTTTTCAGCTCACGCTATTTTAGTGTTTGTTGTTGTTGATTGCCTTTTACAAGACTCACTCCGTTTTAAGGACTATCGACCGCGCCAATACTTACAGGAATTGAAAATGTTGAGTTAGCCAAAATACCCTCATAAATTAGTTGTTTATAGTAGTGTTTGAAAACCAGATCAAATTGGTTGATCGGACTAGTTAAGCTGGGCATTGTCGGTCCGGTTATACCCTAAAAATCAAACTTGATAAAAAATCGACCAAAACCAAATGATCGGCCAAATTAACTAGAAAACTAGCAAACTAGTCTCGATTTCATAAAACTGCATATAGGTCATTAATTGAGATGCAGTTTCAAAGTGACAATGGCAAAACTTAAACCTATAACCTCCTTTATATGTATGTTGCTAAATTACCATTAACCCATTATTTCATTATGTTAATTAATGATTTTTTATTACATATATTACTTTATTACACATGTATTTAAAAAAAAGTGAGTTAGGAGGCTTGAACCCTAGCCATTTACTTTAAAAATTTTAAAAATTGTCATCTATTCACAACATTTGAAATAAATTGTAAAATATATATAATGTTTATATGACCTATAGTATATATACATGTATGCCATGTTATCATAGCTCAACCTCTGGTTTGACCATTGAACCTCTCTCCCTTTTTTGGTTCTTTAAACATTGGTTTATTGTTGTTAGGAGGGGTATTATAGCCATTTTAAAGTCTTTCTAAAAATTAATTTCTTTACCACTTAAGCAAAATGACCCCAAAGTAACTGTTTATATTTATTGGAGGCATTTAGGTCATTTGGGGCCCCTAAGAATGCCCCCCCCCCAAAAAAAAAAACTAGCTATTTATAGTTTTGGGGGGCACTTATGTCATTTAAGCCCCCCTAAAGCTATAATAGCCATTGGAAAGAGTCCCCAACAACTATTTTTGTCCATCCCAAGTGGTGGTCTTCAACCCCGTAGCCTAACCCAACCCAAGAGTGTGGGTCCTGCTTGGTGTAAGCCGATGAAGGATAAGGAATGTCTGACTCGAAAGTCTGGAGGAAAATGGTGATGGTTTACGGAGATGGGCAGTTTAAGTAGAGAGAGAGAGAATGTGGGTCTCCCTCCCTCTTAGTGTGTCGAAGTTTGGCGGAAAATGGTGATGATTTGCACTTTGCAGAGATCGGCAGTTTAGGAAGGAGAGAGAAAATGTGGGTTTCCCCTCTCCTCAATGGGTCTAATCAATAGGATATTAATGGGTTTCAATCTAGGCATGGGGCCCTATTTATAGTGATTTGGATCTACTATAATGTCTGAAGCAGAAACCAGTTATTATGCCCTTAAACATTTTATTATTTAATTATATCATGCAGAATAGCCATTATTAAGCGGTTCCTAAGGTTGTGAATGACAGTATATTGCTTTTACGGGGCAACCTTTGTAACTTCCAAGCAAGCCAAGCCCATCTGTCAAACAGATACAATTAAATTAAATAATTTTAATGAACAAAAGGACAAAAAAGAAAAGGGTTCGATCATAATATGGAAAAAATACGATATGGAGAAAACACTAGAATCATAAACGTGATAATGATTCAAGTGTTATCTATCAAAATTCATGGGTGGGTTTTGATTGGTCAAAACTCTTTTCATGCCATATCTTTTCCGTATCTAGATTTTCCCCCAGAAAATGCCCCATGAATGATTCATCGCCATTCAGAACCGTTCCATTCTCATACCATTATAAGACCTCGTTGAAATACAGGGATCCTGAAATAAAATACAGTTGAGAAAAACAAATGATGTGGGGAGAAAAAAAAAAAAACGGGATTGATTTTAAATTACAGACCCGCTGGACCACTATACCTCAGATCCTACCAGGAAAACTACCCCAATCCAAATGGGTTTTTAGTTTGCCAGCCTCAATTTTCACCAGGCTCATTTTTTCTCAAAACTCCAAAGGAAGATTACTGTTTGGGGTTGGGGGCTGTAAAAGTAAAACCATTCCTCCCATTTTGCTCAATTAAGACTCACTTAGCCGTAACAATCTCAGAATTTAAATGAGATGGGCCCTTTTTAGAAACCTGATTGTTCTGCAATAATACGGCCATATTGACTCCACAAAATCCAAGTACTTATCCACCAACCACGCTTCAAACTCTTTCAGCTTCTTCCTAAATGCTTCTTTGTAGTCCAGGTTTTTAATGTCCACCACAGGTTGCCAGAAATAGGCTCGCAGGTCATCATTGAGCTTGCCCTGGGCCACATAGTTGTAGTAGGTCGGTAAGTTCTTCAAAACTTGCACCATCTGCTTGAAGGTGAAAACATACAATGCACAGAGTCCTCGGAGCATCTTGATGTAGAGAGCCATGACCAGTGGCCCAAAGACCCAAAGAGGGGTTAACTCCTTCGAAACTTCAGGCCCATAAACTACATTAACTGACAGGTACCAAGGGATGCTGCATTTGCAAACATAACACGTCAGTAAGTCAGTGATCTACCATTGCCATCATTATAAGTTCATAAGACTATAATGGTAAATTAGAAAAACAAACAACTAAACAATTTGCTATATTAGAATTACATGCTAAAGCTTCCCAGTTTTCACACACAACGTTGTTTTATAGATCATGATTAATCCACACCAAAGACGATAAATTCTTTATGTTTCTAATTTTAACTATAATTTGTTAGCTGTACAATAAATGAGCAACGGGATGCTAACATGAAATGATGACTCAACGACAATATTATCAGGGTATCAGAAAGAACCCTTTCTCAGGATTAAGAATGTAAAAATGTTATACTTACAATATCACAAGAGGGACCTTAATTATTGCATCAAGTCCCATAAAGTAACACCATGCTGCCTTGAAAATCTTAAATGCTTCCCTTTTCTGGATCCCATTCTGACTTTCTGATATCTCGCTTTGTGGCAGTCCCTCCTCAAAAATCACATTTGGTGCTTGATTGAATGATTGTGTGCGCAACATCATCAGCCATTTCTTGAATAGTTTTTGTATGGCTATGGATCCCACTAGCGAATCTTGACCATCTTCTGAAGTATATACCTTCTCTCTGTCTGCTGGTTCTGTCAGTGTTTCTTCACCATCATGTGGTACATAGGAGAGTTTAACATTGTTCTTGGGGAATTTGCATCCACCTGATCTATCTCCTGATTCATCATTTTGGGCACTGCCTTTGAAGGCTATGACCCTGAAATTTCTTTTACTTGGTTCAAGCATACAAGGAGCACCTATGCTGAGGGAAAAAATTTATATTAGTTCTTACAATCTAAGCAAGAAAGGTAAATGTCTAATGTTGGAACTCTCTCTCTCTCTCTCTAATACATATGGCAGATGTATATGCTAAATCAACATTGCAACTTTACCATATGAATGTGTGAATCATCAAATATATTATCTCATAACTGCCATCCAAGTTATTATACCATTTCTTTTTGGTAAATAATACATAACACTTCAAATGACAAAAGGATTTACATACGAGTTTCCCTTTTTTTACTGTAAAACTACAAAACTAACGCAAAAAAGCTAAGACATATGCTTGTACATGGATTTTGCATGTTCAATGAATAATGAACCATGTATAATGATCATAATTCAAAGTTTCAAACCCTTGATTGATCTGTATCATAAGTGATATAGAAATGATTTTTAAGGGAGAGACTGAGGAGGACAAAATGGAGTTCGCAATGAAATGGAGAAAGGAAACAATGATTGAGGCCAAAAACTTTCTGTTCAAGGAAACTAGAAGCAGAGGAAAAGATTCACTAAAGATCAGAGAAGGAAGAAGAGCAACTGTGTTTCTGGAGTTCGGTGCAGCAAGCTGAAGGTTTTGTAGATGGAGTAATACACTCGGTGAAACATCCAGGATGGAAGAATACCTTAAAGGTGGAAGAAAGAATATATCAGACAGAACAAAGAAGAAATATAAAGGGTTGGTTCCTGATGCTAACAGAACAGTTTGGTCGAGGACAAAGACAAATAATGTTTCCCAGAAGAACGAAATACCTCAGCTTGGAATACTATACCAGGGCTGCTACAGGAGTATATGAGCAGACTGATTGAAACTTAAAAACTCAAACAAAAAGTAGAAGAGGAAGACAGATGACAGGAAATCAAGGAGGCAAACAGGAAGAAATAAAGAAAGGGGGGAGACCAGAAGCTACCTCTCATCTGCTTTTCAATAGCTCCTAGAAGTGGTAGAAGTGAAAACTGGGAGAAAAAAATGGTAGTCTCGATGAAGAACAGAGTCAAAGATTGGAAGGAGACTCTAAATGCCATTGCAAGTAAATTACAGCTAAAAGATACACTATTGCTCAAGCCATTTGAACCTAACAAAGTGATACAGGAAGTGGAAGTGCTAATCTTAGCTTCTGTACAGTGGAGACCAATGAGGGACTGGTTATGATTGAAAAGTGGAACCTGGCTTGTAATGAAAAGGCTGCAAAGCAAGGAAGTATGATTTTGAAGATTCTGGGCCTCCCTTTCAACTTGTGGTAGGAACCCATATTAGAGAAAGTAGTGGTAGCCTGTGGAGGGATTCTGGAAGCCATGAACATAGTAGATCTTCATGCAGCAAGAATCAGAGTTGTAGGCACCAAACCAGAAGCAATTCCCCGTTCTATTGACCAACTGGTGGATAGAATTTGGTGCAAAATCTGGGTTGCAACAGAAGCCCTTCTCTGAAGCTGCAGGAAGAAGGTAGAAGATGATGCTAACCTGGTCTGGTGGATTCCATGTGGCAGGGTAGAAACGGAGGGTAGTGATGATGTGGCAACAAAACTTACCACAGAAGAAGAGGGAAAGTCTTCGAGAAGAAAGGGAGGCAGGGTTTTATGTAAAAAGGAATTAATTCAAAATGAATGTTGTAATGAAGTAAATGACTGCTCAAATTTCAACAGGGGAGAGAAACAGTCTGAGACTTTAAAAGAAATCCTGGATTGAAGGGAAGGTAATCAAATGGCTGGGAGCAAATCTTATGTATTGTCAGAAGGGGCAACTGGCCCGGGAACTAGCTTAAGCCAAGCAACTAATGGCCCAGTTGCCCGGCCATGTGATGCTTTAAAATACCGCATGACAGGTGGCTCGGACCAAAGGTCTGAAAGCAAACTGGTTTTTCATTTAAACCAACCCACTGTCTCAGTTTTTCAAGCGATAGATCAAAAAATTGGTCTATCACTTCTCTTTTCCCTGTAACAGGGAAAACAACAGCGGCTGGGTTAGTGGAGAAAAAGTGCCAGTGTGGAGAGACAACTTCTTCTACCTAGACCCGGAAAGCTTCGAGCTTGGTTTGGAAGCCAAGGCAAGAGATGCGGACTACAAAACCAGAGAAACCCAATCCGAGGTATAACAGGAAGAAAGAGGAAGAAGAAGAAGAAGATATTAGCGATTGGAGTAATTCACAATTTGTAGGTGAAGATTCGCTTTCAAGCTTGGGAAGTGTTGACAGTTCCAAAGTTAGTCAAAGATGGAATAACGGGCAGTTGGGGATGGCATTTCTCTTCGAAGAGGACACAACGGCAGATTTAAAAAAGGCACCCAATGAAGCAAGTTTATCACAGCTACAGACAGACATTAGTACCTCTGTAGACAAGATTGGGGCGAGTGTATGGCCAACTAAAGAGCAAGAACAGGTTAGCAAAGACGGGGGAGTTGGACTTAATCAGGAGCCAAGCATAAATGCAAGAGAGGTTCTTAGTAGTATATACTGCTCTCAGTATTTTATTTGCCTTTTGCTAACACCATTTACACATTGCTCTAGAGTACATGTGTTCTCTTTCACATTAACACAGTAAAACAATCTGATGTTATGGGACCACTCACTGTCAAACCAAGGTCCAGAAGATCTTATGGGACCACTCACTGTCAGTTGAATGGAGTGTTATAAAGTGGCAGCGAAACTTCAAGGAAAAGAAGCAAATGCAACAGCGAGTGGATAACCAGTTCCTCCTCTGCCTCAAAGTGAGCAATCACTGTCTATATTCCTTGATCATATCAACGTTAAGTTCTCCAAAGAAAGTATTTTGTCAAACACAACATTCCATAAGAACACCTCAGATGTGGCATTAACTTCCAAAATCCATTTCCAAGGGAGCAGGTCTGGGGTCATTTGAAGTCACCAATAAGAGCCACATATGAAGAGATTCTTAAAGGCACTTTAATTGTAATACCTAATTTTGACAATACCAAAATTAGGTATTGCAGTGTAAAAAAAAAATAAAAAATCTTTTAACAGGTAATGGCATCAGTCAAAGCTGGCAGTCCAATGAGATCCTACACTTCATTACAATCAAGTACATCAAACTCAAGCCACCACTTATACATCATCCATTGATTTTGTTTCCTTCTTATAGATCTAAAATAATGTTATTTCCCTTTGTATTGATTAGGAGAATAAAGAAAAAGCAGCAAAGGTTGCTAATTATGCACCTAGCAATAGATAAATATGATGGACTTTTTTATCAGTGACAATCAAAGAATTTCATTAATTTGTTAAGGAAGAATGATATACACCCCTTTTTTATCAGTGGGTGAAGAGAACAGCAAATGCATTTGCAGATGCTTTGGCAAAGCAGGGGGTGGGAAGGGACCAAATGTTTTGGGCTGTATTATAAGTTGTTTTGTTTTTTGTCCTCTCGGAGAGAGTTAAGCCTTTTTATCTCTCTCTGGAGTGCTGTAACTAATTCTTATTAATTTAATGAATTCTTGTTATTGATAAAAAAAAGGCTAGTTCTTGATATTGAATATGATAGATCTAGATCATAAGTGGCTATCCTGCATTCTACTGAACACTTATCCAATTTCATCAACCAAGAACCTAAAAGTTTTCAGTTTCAACCATGAGCTGGTAGACACATTCTCACTTTTCACTTTTCAGTTTTAAGCAATGAGTTCATAATCCATATCTAGAGAGAAAAATAACATGAAAGCAAGCTCAAGCATCATAGATAAATATCAAGCATCTCATACCTTAAAAAAAGGTTCTGCTTTGATGCACCACACCTATCCAATTTCCCAACCAACTGAAGAGCTACTGGTTTCAATTTCATACATCTGGTCCATGATAAAGGCCTCAATGGAAAGGTAGCATAAGAACTCTGAAAAGCAATAAATAGAAATAACAATCAACTGAGCCAACCTATTAAGAGGGACAAGTGAGTTTAAAAAACATTTTGATATGGGGTTAAAGCCACAAGTTGCATATGAATGATTTGAAGTGAATGTTAGATAATGGTGATATGGTGCTTTGCATATTAGAAAATACTCTTGCCAAAATTAATCACTTTTTTATAAGTAAATAAATCCTTTTATTAAATTAGAAATATTAGCACATACAAGCAGCCCTTGGAGAGGCGTGAGTTGTGATCTCTCCACTAAAGAAGAAAACAAAAACTAGAAGTTAGTAAGTTACAATTGCCAAAATCAATCACTTTCCAATCCATTGCATTTAAAATGATTGGACAAAGAAACAACTGGGCTCCAATACTTGAGAATTTGGATGGATTATTTGATTTTTCATAAATAAAAAAGGTGGATCAAAACCCAATTGCATAGGAAACATTTCATATAAGTGTAGAGGTAAAAAATAGGATTTGACTCATCCATACAGAAGTGATCCATAAAAATCTCCACAAGCTCCCTGCATTGAGATAAAAACTTAAAGCACAAACAATAATACTTGTGTAGATATAGAGCCAGGATTTCCGTACATACCTGCATCTGGTAGGCTATCAATGCCATTGTCACTGGTTCAAGCACCCATTCACTTACTTAACCAGGCCTGACATAGCAATAGTTAATAAGCAACAGATCACTTCTCCCAATAACATAAATGGAAGAGAAAGCATTCAAAGTGTAAGCAAAAACCAATGTTCATAGAACTGGACTGGGAATAGAACCGGAAAAGAGAGAGGTTCACGGATCATATGTTCAACAGGGGTCAACCTAGAGGTCAAACTGTGATGACGTGGCACACACACACACACACACACACACACACACACACACACACATATATATATATATATATTACAGGTTGTATAAACACTATATATAATATATTTTACAATTTATATCATGCTTGAATGTGGTGGATAGATGTCAAGTTTCTTACTTTTTAAAGTAAATGACTCGGATTCAAGCCTATTAACTCACATTTTCTTTTATAACAAAGTAACATATATAATAAGGATTCATTAATTAACATAAATAAAGGAACGGATTAATGGTAATTGAGCAATACACATAAATAAGAGTTCATGGGTTCAAGTCTTGCCAAGAGGGGCTTAAGACAAGGAGACCCACATTCTCCCTTCTTGTTCACTCTAGTTGCTGATGCTCTAAGCATGATGATATCAAAAGCTTTTTTAGATGGAGGATTCAGAGGTTAGAGAGTAGAGAGGCAGGAGGTGGTTGTCACACACCTTCAATATGCAGATGATCAGATCCTATTTTGTGAAGGTGAGAATGATGACTATCTCAGGAATCTGAAGGAACTAATTTCTCATTTTGAAAAAGGTCTCTAATCTAAAAGTGAACTTTAAGGAAGAGTGGAGTAGCAGGAGTTAACTTGGAAGGTGAAGAGCCATTGCATTGTGCGGAGCTGTGGAGTGTGAAACAAAACCTTGGCCTTTAGAGCACCTTAGGCTTCCTTTGGGTGGCAATCCAGGGTCAAAAGATTTTCAGAAACCAGTCCTAGAAAGGTTTGCTAAGAAGTTAGCCTCGTGGAAAAAAATTATATTTCGTTGGCAAGCAGAATAACATTGATAAAATCCACAATGACCAATTGGCTATAGTTGGGTGGCTCCTAAGCACCTTCAGGATCTGTTTTCTCAGTGGCAAGGAAGAGGTCTGAGTAGAGAGGTAACACTTACTGGCTGAGAGTACTTTATGCTGTACTCTGGGGAATTTGGGAGGAAAGGAACAACTGGCTCTTTGAAAATAAAATAAAATCAAAGGGTGAGCTGATCAACCACATCTCCTATCACTGCAATTTGTGGGCTTCCAGCTCAAAGGAGTTCAAAGGAATCAATGTTAACGACCTTAACAGAAATGTGTACAACTTTCTGATCTCCTCCTCCTCTATCCCTCCCCCCCCCCCAGAGTCCCCCCTTTAAGAAGGGAAGGAACTTGGACTCTATGCTTTGATGGCAGTGCTTTTGGTAACCCTGGAGAAGCCGGCATAGGGGGAATCCTAAGAGGAAAATGGTCTCACCTGCTGGGTATACAGTGGACTGATTGGAATAGCTGACTCCACAAAGGCAGAAGCGTTGGCAGCTCTCACAGGGATTCGCCTAGTCAGTAAACTGGGTATTCAGAACTTCTCCATCAAAGGTGACTCAGCAAATACTATAAGATGGTTAGGACAACAGGAGACTGGACCTTGGAGACTTAGTCATTTCATAACAGAGGCAAGGGACCTATTAGCTCATATGAATGTTTCTCTATATTGGATCCCAAGGCAGATAAATGCCATTGCAGATGGTCTAGCAAAATTAGGAGTCATTCTGGAGACCTTGTACTGTGATAATTTTCCTCCTGTGTAATTCTCAGGGGTCTGGCCCCTGTTTTGTATTTGTACACCTTCTTGTGTACCCCTTTTTCCTTTAATGAAATCAGTTAACTTCTTTCAAAAAAAAAAAAAAACCCATTTATTTCCTATCCACATTTAGGATTCCAGCCTAGGTGGCAAAAAAGTTAGAGAAATATATGAGAGACTTCCTTTGGAAACCAGAAGAGGAAAGAAAGGATCATTTGGTCATGTGGGAAGTGGTGTGTGGGGCCAATGTATAAGGTTGGTTAGGGATAGGGAATTTGATATATAGGAACACAGAACACTGCTTTGCTTGGGAAATGGTTGTGGTGACTAGTGACTACCATTAGAAAGAGACAGTCTCTAGAATAAAGTCACTTCGAGTATTCATGGTGTTTCAGACAACGGGTGGGATGCAAAGGAAGCTCCTAATTCTTCACCAAACTCTCTCCCTAGAGATTTATTCACAAGGTTTTTCCTTACTTTCTAAGCTTCATTAAGTATGATGTGGGTGGTGGTCTTAATGTTTTGTTTTGGGAAGATCTTTGGTTGGGTAATTCTACTCTCAAAGCTCAGTTTGGAAGGAGTACAAATGCAAATATGTACAGTGCAAAACCTTATATTTTGTATTGTTTTGTATGTATTTGTACTGTACATATTTGCATTTGTACTCTTTCCAAAGTGAGCCCAAAGAACAATTTCCTCTTTTGTACTCTCTCCCAACCTACAAAAAGGAACCCATTTATAAGTTCTGGTTTGCCTCCTTGTCTGGGTGGAATTGGGATTTGGATTTCGTAGAGATCTAAGAGATTTGGAATGCTGTTCTCTAATCAACCTATTGGCCATTTTTTATTCTGTTTTCTTGGACAACCAGGTCATTGACAGAAGAATTTGGTCTGTCTCTCCCACGGGTTAGTTTTCTTAAGCTTTTTTCTTCAATTCTCTAGTACAGACAAACAGCTTGGGGATAAACTTCCCTGTGAAAGAAATTTTGAGTAGACCTATCCCTCCTAGGATTCAAGCTTTATGTTGGAAAGTGGTTCTAGGCAAGATCAATACCTGTGATATGCTGCAAAAAAGAAAGTCTTTTATGTCCTTTCTCCTCATATATGTTTTCTTTGCAAAGCAAGTGATGAGACTATTCCCCATTTATTAATCTCTTGTACCATTTTGAATTGTGTTTGGTTAGAATTGTGCTCTTTCTTTGGGTGCAGGTGGGAGGCTCCCCAAGATGTAGCAGACTTGTTTAGCCCTAATTTCCTGAGGCAGCCTACAAAAGGAAGTACAATTTTGTGAAAGCAGCAAGGGCAGCAACCTTATGGGCAATATGGGAAAAAAGAAATGGAAGAATTTTCAAGGAAAAAACTAGGAGTGCAGAAGAAATATGGAGAACATAAATTTAAAGGTTGCCAGCTGGGTGAATCTTCAAGGAATTTAACATCAATGAATTAATAAGAGCTACTTATCCAAAAAAAAAATAATAATAAGAGCTTGGAGAGAAGTGGCTACTTCGTCAAAGGCAAAAGATAAGACTGTGATGGAATGGAAACCACCGATAAATCAAGGCTTAAAGCAGAACTTTGATGGAAGTTCACTAGGCAACCCTTGACAGGCAGGAGTTGGAGGAGGGGGATTCCAAGGTGGTCATTTCTTGGTTAAATAACAATATTCCATGAGCTTGGAAGTATAGACAAACAATTAGAGAAATTCAATCTTTAGCTAAGGAGGTGGGGGCAACCTTCGGATGGATAAGAAGAACAGCAAACGGAATGGAAGATCAATTGGATAAGCAAGGGTACATAGGGATCAATTGTTTTGGGCAGAATTGTAATTGGGCTGGGCGAATTTGTTTTGGCGACTGGATTGTCTTCCAGCCTTGTATTCTTTCTAATAGCATTTTAATCAACGAAATCTTTCTTTCTTATCCAAAAAAAAAAAAAGGAACTAGGAGACTTGTAGATAAACTAGGGAGTCTAGGATTTTTCTATAGTACTTTTCTAAAATAGAGAAAGAGCTATGGAACATTGGAATCATAAGGCATGTTACAGAACTTGAGATACCTTTGAGAGACATGGAATGCCGTCACAGCCGCTGCTTCCACCACCGTCGCCGCCTCCAGGCCCTCCACAATTGAGTATTTGAGATTGAAGGAGGAAGAGAGTGAAGAGAAGAGAATTGAGAGTTTGATTTGAGTTGAAGGAAAGGGGAACCAGGAGATGAGACGAAGATAAGAGGAAGAAGCTAGGGCAGCGAACAATCGAGACAGGGGGAATCAAAAATGAAAATTGGAAATGACCCATTGGTCCCATTCAAGTGGTAAGGACTGAGGTGTTTGGTTTTCCCAATTCCCATCTCACCGAAATTACCATTTTGTTCATATTTAGTTATAATATTATTACATATAAAAGTATAGCAAGTATAAACCATTACTATTACTGTTGTTAAAAAAAATAAAAAATTGCGGATTAAGCTTTTATCACACACAATATCATTTGTGTCAAGTGGCTTTGCACTGACTGAAGCCAATCTCAATCTCAAGTCCAACCCAAATTATTTTTTGTAGGTATTGTTTAATTGTTATATAATTTGGCATTTCAACGTGTTGATTACAAAATACACATAGCTGCTAGGTGGCTGTAAACACCCTGCCCTGTAGGCCACTTTGGACGAGAAAGTTTAATTTGGCTTGGGATCCAAATCCATATCTATACCGGAAAAATCTGTACGTACATTCCTAATTACTGAGAGCTCCTCCCTACTTGCATGGTTTTGCAGAACATTGTCATCCCAAGCATTTGGTTAAATTGCAAACCCTGTAAGAATGGCGACACTGAGATGGATCTGGATCCAACCGAGATTTAAGTTTAATGTATTTAAGCGAATAAGAAACCAATAATATCAAGATTACATAAACTAATTGAATCCATTTGATGTTCTTTGGTTTAATAATGTATTTGTTTTTCTTGGATAAAATCTTAGTTCAATTTGTTAGGTTTTATTTTGAAAGCTTGAAGAACAATGAAGCGGTAAAACCGACTATTGAAAAGGTATTTTTGGGTTTTAAAATAATTATACATCACAAATATGTACTTAATAATTAATAGGGATAATTTAAGAAATTTGCCCTTTTATAATTTGTTATTACAGCTTTATTTCTTCCTTTCTGTATCTGAGTTCCAAAGGGTTTCATTTCTACCTTTCTGAGACTCTAAGTTCCATAGTGTTTCGTCATTCAACGTTCATGCTGGAACTTAGAACCGTAAAATAACTAAATAAAAAAAAAACAGAAAAACAAATGCGTTTGCCGGGAGTCGAACCCGGGTCTATTGCTTGGAAGGCAATTATCCTAACCGTTGGACTACAAACGCTTATTTGCTAATGTTGACATAATAAATTTTCTATCAGCRCTTATTGATGACCTCGTAAATTTATTAATACCTCATCTCTCGCAGCGGATCTGAATTTCGGGCTGTCGACAAAGTTAATGTATCTTAATGCTCATTTTTAAGACCCTCCTGATTAGGGGTGAGCAAAAAAAAATAATCGAAAAATCGGTTAGTTGAATCAGTCGGTTCGTTTTTGGTTTGATGTTTTCAAAAAACTGATAGTTTCAGTTTGGTTTTGGTTAACCATTTAGAAAAACCGGCGGTTAACCGAATTGACCGATATATACAGTAATATATTTTTATATAATATTATATATTTTTTTAAATCTAATAAAAACGTTCGACAGTCTGAGAGTGTTCAAACTACCAAACTGAGAATCTGAGACTTTCAGGTTCGCCAGTCTGGCAGGTTGGTAGCCAGACTGGAAAACAGCCTGTCTGACACCCGTCATGCAGCTTTCCCTCTCTCTCTCTCAGACTCTCCCACATACCCCTCTCTCTCTCTCTTGCCTCTCTCTCTCTCTCTCTCTCTCTTGCCTCTCTCTCTCTCTCTCTCTCTCTCTCTCTCTCACTCTTTCAGACTCCCACTCGCCCAGTTCTGGGTTCTAGCCTTTGGTGCTCCGCCCTCCAACTGATTCACCGACGGCCTCCAACAATGGCGATCCCTCCTGCTTCGGCGACACTGGCGAAGTGGCAATCCCAGCTCTCTTTGACTGTATTTTTCCTTTTTCTTTTTAAATTTTAAGGGCATAAAAAAACCAAAAAACCGAACCACGATTAACCGATCCACCGGTTAACTGGTTGCATCGATTCAATTAAATGTAAAAACCAAAGATATCGGTTCGGTCCAGAAAATTACCCCACGGTTTGATTAATCGAATCGTGAGCACCCTTACTCCAACAAAGTCATTTTTAGTTTAATGGTCAGTGGTAATGTTACTTTTGTTGAAAGGCATTTAAAAGGAATGAATTTGAAGATTTGATTAGTTAAATTCTGATGTCAACTTTGACTGAAAAGCTCCACAACGTTGTGCATAGCACCCTATATTCTATAAGAATCCATAGGGGTGCTGGTGCAAGTTGGGCGGACTGAGCTGGGTTTAATCACAACCCAAGCCCAACCCTAAGAATTGTATCTTAACCCAAGTCTGAGATTAAGTCCCAACTATCTAATTCGACATCACTAATTGAACTTGAATTGGTATTTATGAGATTTAATCGGATCTATAGTATATCAGATTGGATTCGTATATACCCTAATTTGAATATGATCAGATCTAATCCAATCACTAATAACAACTAAGCGCCCACCTATGTGATTAGTTCCTGCCTATGTGACAAAAAAGACAATGTGGGCATCTTATTATAATRTCATTGATATTGCTGCATCTTATTAGTATGTCTATGGATACATTCTATTATATACTATATATCATTTATATTTTGTGTTAATGTTTTACTATTGAAATTTAAAATATGAAAAGGTTTTAAGGATAGAAAAAGAAGGAGTGAAAGAAAAAAAAGAATAAAAATATAGAAAGCTCTCTCTCTCTCTCTTCAATTAAATAAAACAATAATTGCATCTTTTTTTCTACTAGTAAATATGCACATGCATTGCATATGGTAATTTCATATAACATTAATAATTTAAATATCCTTATTAGAACCATTCAAAAAGGATAAGTAATAAAAGCACGGCGTGTTAGTATATTTAGATTTTATATTTCATTTTCATTGTTAATAAAAATACTTCTTATTTATTATATTCATTTTTTATTAATATGATAAATATATAATATTAGAGATGTGCACAAATTTTATAGACAAAATTTTGTGTTTTCTACATTTTCTATCTATTTTTTAGTTTTATTATATAATTACGACATCATGTGCTAGCCTATTTGACTTGAAATAAAAGACAATATCATTTTTGGGCAACTTTAAAATTTTTATTCCATTTGCATAATTAATTCTAAAAATAATTCTTGTTTATCACATTCATTTTTGTTTGATATGATAAGTTTATAATATCTTAGATATCTCAAAAATATCTATAAATTTTATGTATTTTTTAATTTTTTGAGTTTTTATGTGTTTTTATTTTTTTTTATTTGATTATGACATCATTGGTTAACTTACTTACCCAAACTTTTGGACCATTACGATGCAAGTCAAATATGTTGGGCTAAATTTAAGCTTAACCCAGGCCCAACCCTATGCATTGGACCTAAGGCTTCAAAGCAAAGTCAAACCTAATCTTCAACTTGGGCCCAACTTCCAACCTACATTGAAATTTGATGCATTTGGTTAGTTTTGGACTTGGATTTATCTATCAAGTAGCCCCTATGACAAAATTTGTCATAAATGTATGTGTATAATTGTATATGCATGCATATATGCAAATATGTGTTATATATGTATTTATGATTATTTATATATAATGATGCTTGACATTAGCTACCTAAGGGATAGGCTTGGGCCTAACCAAAAAATAAAAAGCCCAAACTTTTGAACCTAGGCCTAGGCCCAAGTTGATGACCAAAAATTGAAGCTAGTCTGTCTAAAATTACAAACTAAATCGATTTGAGCTTGAGTTAAGCCCACCTAATTTGCCTCCCTATGAACCATTGGTCATTAATTAGATGTGAAAATAGTTTTTCTTTTAAATTAGTTTAGTTTTTAATTTTATTTCTATCATTAATAAAAATAACTCTTATATATCACACCTAATTTTGTTTAATATGATGCATACATAATATTAAAGATGCACTCAAATGTTTTTTTTACAAAATTTATATTTTTTAATAATTTTCATGTATCTATATTTTTAAAATTTTTATTATTTAACTATGAGAACATTGGTTGACTCATTTGACGTTGATGGTTGAACTATTTACTTGCAACTCATACAAAAGGGTGGTTTATGTAATTATTTTTCATGTTGCTTTTGAAGATAAGTTTTACATTATTGAAAATATTAGATATAGATTTGTTTTGTAGAATTTATTGGTTAGAAACAAAAATACTATAAATAAAGTATCTAAAGAGAGAGAATGAGAGTTAATACCTTAATAAGAGGAAATTTACTGAAGTGGAAAGTAATAGTACTTTAAATTATAAATTTTTCCTATATATTTAAAGTGAGATTATAAATTCATAAATAGGGATGTTCTAGTCAAGAAAAGTCCACAAAGCTCATTTGTTTAATGTGCCTTAAATATAAGATTTAATGAAAGGAAATGAGATTTAAAACTTTAAATATAAGACTTAATGATGAAGAATATAATGAGTTTAATAAAAGTATTAGTTCAAATTATGTTTTTTGCCCTCATAATTAAATACAGTGAGACCAAATTAAAAGAGTAAAGGTATTTTAATAAAAAAACTCCAGAATGTAGACCTCATTCACACTTTAAATAGTAGTATAGATTTTATTTTCCATCTTGGATTTTTATCATATAAAGTTAATAACATTTTTTAGTATAGTAATATTATGTTTGAAAATAATGAAATTAATATATTTAAAAGAGTTTTCATCTTTTAAATAATGATGATTTGAAACGTCTTTAAAGGAATACTGTTTTGAATAAAAAGAATTGCTATCTTTTTCCATTAATGTACATGCTAAATGATATGTAAAATTATGGGATTAGCAAAAAAATAGTTCCTTACATTATAAAATTCTTATTTTCTAGGTACCCCAAGGTCATCCTAAACTCCTTTAACAATTATGCTTCCAAATATGTATGTTAGGAATTATATATTAAAAAATGTATTTTAGATGTAACCAAGTCAGGAGTGTTAGTACGTTAAGGGATGAAAAAAAAAACACCCAAAATACCACCTTGAATGGTATCTGCCAAAATTAAGACCGTAGAGGAAGAATTATTACTTGCAAGAATGGCTGACCACGTTA